ACTGCTCTAGTGGATGAGGCAGCTGGTGGGGAAAAATATTTCCACTGAAGCTTTAGCACCAATCATGGTTTCCACAACAAGCCATTTTTTTCACAATCCAATTATCACAGGGACAGAAAGTGAGGTGAAATCTTCTGAACAAGGGCAAAACAAACACTACAGGGATATTCACCCTTCCCTCTGGTATCCAAAGCTAATGCATATATATTTGGCAGGAGTTACACTTCAAAAATGTACCTGTTTTGACTTACAGACAAATTCAGAACAAACCTACAGAAGGGATCCTGTTTGTAACTTGGGGGCTACCTGTATATCGCAATGTGATAAAATGCAGTACTCATATCTGCTAAGAGGAATGTGTGAACGAATGTATTCACTTGAGCTTGGATGTTTTGTTGCAAGGTCATGTTCTACCAGGGGGTTTCCCATCCAGGGACTGAGTTACCTCAGACTTAGAATCATAGAGTTGGAAGAGATCTCATGGGCCATCTAGTCCAACCCTCTGCCAAGAAGCAGGGAAATTGCATTCAAAACACCATCGACAGATGGTCATCCAGCCTCTGTTTAAAAGCTTCCAAAGAAGGAGCCTCCACTACACTCCAGGGCAGAGAGTTCCACTGCTAAACAGCTCTCACAGTCAGGAAGTTCTTCCTAATGTTCAGATGGAATCTCCTTTATTGTAGCTTGAAACCATTGTTCCGTGTCCTAGTCTCCAGGGAAGCAGAAAACAAGCTCCCTCCCTCCTCCCTATGATTTCCTCTCATGTATTTATACATGGCTATGATGTCTCCTCTCAGCCTTCTCTTCTTTAGGCTAAACATGCCCAGCTCTTTAAGTCGCTCCTCATAGGGCTTGTTCTTTTTTTGCTGCCGCATGACATTGTTGACTCATTGTTGGTTCATGTTTAACTTGTTGTCCACAAGGACCCCAAGATCTTTTTCACATGTATTGCTGTGGAACCAGGTGTCCCCCATTCCGTATCTTTGCATCTCATTTTTTTTCTTCCTAAGTAGAGTATCTTGCATTTGTTACTGTTGAACTTCATTTTGTTAGTTTTGGCCCATCTCTCTAATCTGTTGAGATCATTTTGAATTCTGCTCTTGTCTTCTGGAGTATTGGTTATCCCTCCCAATTTCATGTCATCTGCAAATTTGATGATCATGTCTTCTAAGCCTTCATCTAAGTCATTAATAAAGATGTTGACCAGGACCAGTCTATCATGTCTCCACTCCGCCTTCTCTTCTTCAGGCTAAACATGCTCAGCTCTTTAAGCTGCTCCTCATAGGTCTTGTTCTCCAGACCCTTGATCATTTAGTTGCCCTCCTCTGGACACATTCCAGCTTGTCACATCTCTCTTCAATTGTGGTGTCCAGAATTGGACACAATATTCCAGGTGTGGTCTAACCAAGGCAGAATAGAGGGGTAGCATGACTTCACTGGATCTAGACACTATACTCCTATTGATGCAGGCCAAAATCCCATTGGCTTTTTTTTGCTGCCTCATGACATGGTTGACTCATGTTTAACTCCTCAAAAAAGCAACCCCCTTTTCAACGTATTGTTGAAGGCTTTCATGGCCGGAATCACTGGGTTGTTGTAGGTTTTTTCGGGCTATATGTCCATGTTCTAGAGGCATTTTCTCCTGACGTTTCGCCTGCATCTATGGCAAGCATCCTCAGAGATAGTGAGGTCTACTGGAACTAGGGAAATGGGTTTCTATATCTGTGGAATGACCAGGGTGGGGCAAATAACTCTTGTCTGTTGGAGCTAGGTGTGAATGTTTCAACTGACCAATGCTAATCAAGGTGGTACAATAACCCAACCTCCTTTCCCCCGCCCAATTATTTCCTAATGCAGCTCCATGACGGGTTTATGTGTGAAGAGGGGCAGACCCCTTGAAAGGGGAAAAGGAGAAGAATGAGATAATTGAGGATAATGCAGAGAGACGAAAAACATTAATTAGAAAGACGACACTACACGAGATATGAGAAAGTAATATGAAAAGAATATAAAAAGGCAAAGAAAAAATTAAAGAGAGAAAGAGAGAAGAATAGTGAGGTATGAAAAAGAGACAGAGAACTCGGAAAACATTAGTAATTGCCAGAGTAAAGAATAGATAAATATAAGAAAGAATTAATAAATGATAATAACAATAAAGAGAGTAATATAATATAACTAAATATAATAAATATATAATAAAACTAAAAAAATATAGATATATCTTACACTTCCCCGTGACTGATAGGCCCATATATTATCAGATTAATATGTATAAAAAGAATAAATAAATATAAATGAATAAATAAAAATATAATACTAATATTGTAATATATATATACAATGTATAATATATAGAAAAAAACACAAAAATTCCTAATGCAGCTCCATGACGGGTTTATGTGTGAAGAGGGGCAGACCCCTTGAAAGGGGAAGGCTTCCACTCAGCCCCTTAAAAGGCAGCGTCAGGGAAAGCGCCAATGGCTCCCCTCAGCAGGCCGCCTTTCAGTGGCCATTGCTCTCCTCCTCCACCTCCTCCTCCTCGCTCGTGCCTGGAGAAGGCGCAAGACTCCGACCTGGGGAAGCCATCTCCGCCTGTTGCATTTCCTGACAGGAACTCGCGCGCTCATTTCACCCCCTTTCCTTCTAAGGAGGCACCCAAGCCCCTCGGAGAGCATTTGCTCCCAGCAGCGCCTGGACTCAAGGGGAAGGTGCGCGCCTGGAAGGGCGGGAGCGCCCGCCAGCGTCCCTTATTGACAACAGCGCCGTTGCCTAGCTATCCTCTCCTCCTCCTCCTCCTCCCTCCCGCCAAATACATCCCTTGAAGTTGCTGTTTATTGACCAAAATGCAAAGCAGGGAAGAGGGAACGGCAAGGGCGGGTGCAAGGGGAAGGGAGAGCCTTTCAAACCGGGCTGACAAAAACATTGCAAGGAAGGAGACGAAATCCTTCTTTTCCTTTTTCTCTCCTTTCCTTTGAAACCCATATTGGAAGCAATCCGCCTGGAGACGGCGTTGCTTGCTCGCCAAGAGCCCCCACTTGCAGCCTCCCCTTTGGATCAGCAACAGTTTTCTTCATGTCAGGAGCGACTTGAGAAATTGCAAGTCGCTTCTGATGTGAGAGAATTGGCCGTCTGCAAGGATGTTGCCCAGGGGACGCCAGGATGTTTTGATGCTTTACCATCCTTGCGGGAGCTCTCATGTCCCCACATGGGGAGCTGGAGCTGACAGAGGGAGCTCAACCCATTCTCCCTGGATTCGAACTGCTGACCTGTCAGTCACAAGGGTTTAACCCATTGTCTCATTAAGAGCTCCAAGACATGCCTGTGCCTGACAGGGAGTGCTTCTTTATCGTGTCAGGATGACTTGAGAAACTGCAAGTCGCTTTTGGTATGAGAGAACCGTCTGCAAGGACGTTGCCCAGGGGAAGTCCAGATGTTTGATGTTTTATCATCCTTGTGGGAGGCTTTTCTCATATCCTTGCATGGGGAGCTGGAGCTGACAGGGGGAGCTCACCCCACTCTCCTCGGATTCGAACCGCTGACCTCTCAGTCAGCCGTTCTATCGGCACAAGTGTTTATCCCGTTGCACCACTGATTAGCAACAGTTGTGGTTGTATTCTTTGTAAAGTGAGGCGTGTGGACTCCAGGGTTCTTGCTTTTCTCGCCATTCACACACACATCCTCATGGAAGGCAGGGAGGAGAGGAAAGGGATCCCTGAGTAGGATCCCAAACCCTTCTGTGGAGACTGAGCAGCAAGAGCAACAAGAGTTTGTGGGAAAGCGGAGGGAGGAAAAAAGAGACCTTCCTCCACCCCAAAAACAGAACAAAACCAACATGGGCGGCAGAGGCAAGCGTGAGAGGGGTTTCGCCTGCTGCCGTAAACATTTTAGGCTTCGCTTTCGAGGAGAAACCTTTCCTCGCCTTCTTGGGGAGGGGGGTTGAGGCGCCCAGAAGGCATGCCTGTGCCTGACAGGGATTGAGTTTTTTTTCTCATGTCGGGAGTGACTTGAGAAACTGCAAGTCGCTTCTGGTGTGAGAGAAACTGCCCGTCTGCAAGGACGTTGCCCAGGAGACGCCAGGATGTTTTGATGCTTTACCATCCTGGTGGGAGGCTTCTCTCATGTCCCCACATGGGGAACTGGAGCTGACAGAGGGAGCTCAACCCATTCTCCCTGCATTCGAACCGCTGACCTGTCAGTCGGCACAAGCGTTTAACCCACTGTCTCATTAGGGGCTCCAAGGCATACCTGTGCCTGACAGGGAATGCTTTTTTCGTGTCAGGATGACTTGAGAAAGGCAAGTCGCTTTTGGTGTGAGAGAACTGGCCGTCTGAAAGGACGTTGCCCAGGGGACACCCGGATGTTTTGATGCATTACCATCCATGTGGGAGGCTTCTCTCATATCCCTGCATGGGGAGCTTGAGGTGACAGAGGGAGCTCTTCCAATCTCTCCCCGGATTCCAACCCCTCATCTGTCAATCAGCAGTCCTGCCAGCACAAGGGTTTAACCCATTGTGCCATTGGGGACTCCAATGGACATCCTGACAGGGACTGCGTGCTGGGATGACTTTGAGAGACTACAAGTCGCTTCTGGTGTGAGAAAATTGGCCGTCTGCAAGGACGTTGCCCAGGGGACGCCTGGATGATTTGATGCTTCTCTCATGTCCGTATATGGGGAATTGGAGCTGACAGAGGGAGCTCAACTCGCTGTCCCTGGATTCTAGCTGCTGAGCTGTCAGTCAGCAATCCTACTTTTGGTGTGAGAGAATTGGCCGTCTGAAAGGACGTTCCCCAGGGGACGCCCGGATGTTTTGATGCTTTACCATCCCTGTGGGAAGCTTCTCTCATGTCTCCGCACGGGGAGCTGGAGCTGACAGAGGGAGCTCAACCCAATCTCGCCGGATTGGAACCCCTGACCTGTCAGTCAGCACAAGGGCTCCGAGGCATGCCTGTGCCTGGCAGGGAGTGCTGATTTCTCAGCAGTGAGGGAGAAAAAGAGAGAGAGGAAAAAGGAGGGAGGGGGGAGTGTTGAGAAAATGCATCCCACCCCTTTCCCTTCATGGCGGGAGGCTTCCCAAAAGGCGGGAGGGAAGGCAAGGCAAGGCAAGGCAGGGCAGGGATGCCCACTCGGGAAGGGCGTGTTGCTGGCCCTTTGGAACAGCCAGGGCGGGGGAGGCGCCAGACTGTTTCCGACCCGCGCCTTCTCTGCCCGCACGTCCCAAACTCGCCTCAACGGGAGAGAGAGAGAGGCAGGCAGGCAGGCAGGCAGGCAGGCGAGGCGGGAAAGCCGCTCCCCGACGCTCCTCGGAGGCAGCTTTGGAGGGCCCCCGCCCCGTCATTTTTTTGTTTTTCCCACCAGCGATATCCCAAGCCGTGCTTCCTCCTTTTCCTCCTCCTCCTCCTTGTATTGCGAAGGCGCCGCCACGCCCGGGTTGCGGGAGGACGCGCGCGGGTCCTGACCGCCCGCCATCCGGGAGGGAGCCCAGAGGCGCGGCTAGCGAGGGACAGCAGCAGCGGCGGCGGCGGCGATTGGGACGTGCCTGCCGCCGCCTGAGCACCATGAGGCGGAGAAGGAGCGGCCAGCCGCCCGGGGGAACCTCGCCTCGCCTGGGGATGCGGCCCCACTGAGAGCCGGGGAAGGAGGGAACCCGCGACCTCCATGCCTCGGCTCCCCGCAAAAGGCGCGCAACAAATGGCAGCCGGGGCGCTCCTCCGGGCTGCAGAGGTGGCGGCGGCGGTGGTGGCGACTCCCAGGTGAGGCGCCAAGGCGAGGCGCAGCTGGCCCTCCATTCCTCGCCGCCTTCGCCCTCCTCTTCCTTTTCCTCCTGCACCCGGTAAGCCCCTTCCCCGCCGGAGTCCCAACTCCCTGTGCGTGGAAGCAGGGACTCTCTTGTCTCCACCTTTCCCCTTGTGTGTGTGTGTATGAGTGTGTGTCTCAAAGGTATATGCCATCCTGAATGTCGTGGGTTGGGAAAGATAGGGGGAGAAAAACAGTGGGCATGGTGGCTCTTGACCTCAAGATGTGAACAATTCTATATAGACCTCAGAACACCAGAGAATGAATCCACTTTAGATCTGGTTGCTCCCTCCTGCAGAATTCTGGGGTTTGTAGTTTAGGGAGGAGCTTTTAACAGCCTCACTAAACTACAAACCCCATAATTCTGCAGAAGGCAAAAACCAGATTTAAAGTGGATTCATTCTCTAGTGTGATTATGTAGTCAGTAGACTACAAACCCCATAATTCTGCAGAAGGCAGAAACCAGATTTAAAGTGGATTCGTCCTCTAGTATGATGAAGTAGTCAACTACAAACCCCATAATTCTGCAGAAGGCAAAAACCAGATTTAAAGTGGATTCATTCTCTAGTGTGATGAAGTAATCTATATACTACAAACTCCATAATTCTGCAGAAGGCAGAAATCAGATTTAAAGTGGATTCATTCTCTAGGGTGATGAAATAATCAATGTGCTACAAACCCCATAATTCTGCAGAAGCCAGAAACCAGATTTAAAGTTGATTCGTCCTCTAGTATGATGAAGTAATCAATATGCTACAAACCCCATAATTCTGCAGAAGGCAGAAACCAGATTTAAAGTGGATTCGTCCTCTAGTATGATGAAGTAATCAATATACTACAAACCCCATAATTCTGCAGAAGGCAGAAACCAGATTTAAAGTGGATGCATTCTCTAGTGTGATGATGTAGTCAGTAGATTACAAACCCCATAATTCTGCTGAAGGCAGAAACCAGATTTAAAGTGGATTCATTCTCTAGTGTGATGAAGTAATCAATATACTACAAACCCCATAATTCTGCAGAAGGCAGAAACCAGATTTAAAGTAGATTCGTTCTCTAGTGTGATGAAGTAGTCAGTAGACTAAAAAGAGCTGTATTGTGTATTTTCATCTGCTATGAACACTGAGATCCCTTACCCTTGGGAAAAACTAAAGTCCATAGGTTTCCATTATTCACCCACAACCTTTAGATCAGGCATGAACAAACCGGCCCTCCAGGTGTTTTGGATTTCAGCTCCCACAATTCCTAACAGCTGGTATGGAAGTTCAAAACACCTAGAGGAAAACACCTTGTGGAAGTCCAAAACACCTGGAGGGCTGAAGTTTTTTGTGTGTATCTCAAGTCAAAGGTATATATGATGCTGAATGTTGTGGGTTGGGAAAGAACAAGGAGAAAAAAACCAGGGAGCATGGTGGTTCTTGATCTCCAGATATGAGCAATTCTATATTCTTAGTAGACTAGAAAAAGCTATATATTTTCATCTGCTATGAGCACAGAGATCCCTCACTCTTGGGAAAAACTAAAGTCCATAGGTGCCCATTATTCACCTGCAACCTTTAGGTCAGGCACGGGGAAACTTCAGCCCTCCAGGTGTTTGGAGTTGAATTCCAAAAGACCCGGAGGGCCAAAATTGGTGTGTCAAAAGTATATGTGATGCTGAATGTCCTAGGTTGGGAAAGAACAAGGAAAAAAACAGTGGGCATAGTAGCTTTTGGCCTCCAGATATGAGCAATTCTATATAGGGCCTCATCACACTAGGAGTTGAAGTCCAAAATACCTGGAGGGCTGAAGTTTGCCCGTGCCTGCTTTAAGTAAACAATCAACATCTATCTACTACATTTAAGCTGGGAAGTGGAAGAACTTCCTGACAGTAAGGGCCCTTCCACAAAGCCATATAACCCAAAATATCAAGGCAGAAAAAATTCACTTAGTACAAAGACTTAGTACAAAAAGCTGTATTTGTGTATATTTTCATCTGCTATGAGTTCAGAGATCCCTCCCCCTAGGGAAAAACTAAAGTCCATAGCTGCCTATTATTCGCCTACAACCTTTAGGTCAGGCATGGGCAAACTTTGGCCCTCCAAGTTTTGGACTTCAACTCCCACAATTCCTAACAGCCTGTTAGGAATTGTGGGAGTTGAAGTCCAAAACACCTGGAGGGCCAAAGTTTGCCCATGGCTGCTTTAGGTAAACAATTGACATCTATCTACTACGTTTAAGTTGGGAAGTGGAAGATCTTTCTGACAGTAAGGGCTCTTCCATGCAGCCATATAACCCAGAATATCAAGGCAGAAAATCCTACAATATCTACTTTGAACTGGAATATATGGCAGTGTGGAGTCAGATATCCCAATTCAACACAGAATTTGTGGGATTTTCTGCCTTGATATTCTGGGTTATATGTCTGTGTAGAAGGCCCCTAAGAGCCACTCAGCTGTTTCTGAGTGTGGTGAAGTCTCCTTCATTGGAGTATTTTAAGCAGAAGGTGAATGTCCATCTGTCTGGGCTGCTTTGGTTCTCCTGTTCCTGTCTGGCAAGGGGTTGGACTGGATGGCCCTTCTGGTCTAGATGATTCTATGATATGAAGCGTTCATTTCTCCAGCATTAGCTTAATTCAAATTGCAATATGCCACATGTACAATGGAGGACCTTCTTACAGCAACACCGGAGACACTCGAAGTGGTCAGCTTCTGGTCAGAGGAAATTTAGTATAATGCCACGTTTTAAACTCTGTTTGTGTGTTTGTTCTACATTATAGCTGTATTTTCAATCCGCTTCTGACACAATAAATAAATAGCTTAGCTCAGGGAAAGAGATGTAGTCAAGAGCTTACAAAAAGACAATATCACAAAGTAAAGGATATTCAGCTGTTTATGTTTTAAGGGTTGTTGAAACTCTTGTAAGAGGGGGTCATTTCGGATGGACATCATTCCCATGCCTTGCAAAGCGTGTGCTGTTGTGGCAGGGTGAAAATGAGAATTTGTAAAAGTTAGCCAAGATAATCAAGATTGGATTGAATGTTTACTTTCAGTTCCCACAACTCTTCCGTAAATGACAGTACGAGTTTAGATTTAAGGAAACCACAATGCATTGTGGTCAACTTGGCATTGGTTTTCTGATATTTCTATATTGGTGCCGGATTAATATGCACCTGATTCAGAATCAAGGAAGGGGTATTCGGACTGCATTTCTTTCTTAGTCAGTGGTGAAAGAAGAACTGAGGAAGATGGGATCAGGTCCATGAATGTGAATCTATCATTGATTTTGTGAAGATGTGGCTGGCATCCAAAATGAAATCTGGATGTAATCCTCCTGACCTCTGAAATCAGTGAGTGATATATCACATTTGACTTCCAACAGGAAAGAAACCTAGCATCAGTTCCAATCTAAATTTCCCTTTCCCTTGTATTGCTGATAGCTCCGACTTGTCACATTTTACAGTGTTTGAGGCCTTCAGTAATCTTGCTTTTATGTAGTATTACAAAAATCATTATTTAGCTTTTTGATGCTGAGAAAGATTATTGCTGGTAAACCACATGCTGTGCCAGAAGGCCAAGTATTGAAAATGAAAACTTACATGCAATAAATTAAATGAGCATATTTTCAGGTAATTAATTCATAATGAAGTAAGTGGCAGTGGGCATATGTTCAGATGAAGATGGCTTCTAGTAGCGGGTTGGTAGAAGATTTAACTAGCCCAGTTGTATCTCTGGTAATATACATTGAATTTATGCTGAGCCTTTTCCCATTCCCTTAAATATCAGGCATTTAAAGCTACTTTGGAAAGCAAGGCTATCTGTAAGTGACCCATTATTCTGGAATCACAGTTCACTAATTTACTTCAGCCATTGGTTTGTTTACACGTTCAAGAGATGATCTGGAGGATGAAGTGAGTTGTGGAAACATAGTCAGGAGCTGTTGACTTTCTGCCCTTTTAACCCAGAAGAGATGATCCTATCAACAACACTGTCCAAATATAGTGGAGAGCCTCGTTCTGTGCAAATGTCACAAAAATGTATACATAACATGAAGTAATTAGTAAGAATGTTTTGTTGAAACATTTTCCATTGACATCACAGAATTCCACGGTAACAATCCTTGAGTCAACACCTTCAGGAAGTTGTGAACTATCATTTGAATTTCATCACTGTCTTGAAGGCAAACACAAGCCCAAATCACAATTTCTTATCTAAAGACAGAAACATTGGAAACCACACAAAAATATTAAATGTTTCAATTTCAGTCCAAATCTAAAGAAGACAACATATTATTTAACCTTTCGTGTGGTTTTTCCTTCTTTAGCATTCACATCTCTGTGTTTTGTCTTATTTATGGGGAGCTTGCATAAACTTGGGCAGTCTTCGATAAATTACCATATCTTTTTAGAAAAGCCTCCATATTTTCAAAAGTGAATCCTATTGTTTTCCATGGAAATAATGAAAACATATTTTTAATAATTTGGAACCTAATTTTGAAAAGATAAGCATGTTTATTCAGAAGAAAGCTTCACTATGTTTAGTGGTACTTACTTCCTGTTAACTAAGTGTAGGATTGTAGTATTGGTTCATAGCATCAGATTTTCTTTTTGTGTGGAGGGAGAAGGGAGCCATACTTTCCCAAAGTTATTAGTGTCAATTTAGAAGTGCTTGATCGTTCCTTCATTAATGTGAATTCACTGGTTATAGATGGAACAGAATTTTTCCATGGATTTCATTGCACCTTATAGTTGATTGGGTTCATAAAACACAAAGACTGATCTGAATTTTAAAAATCATAGATGGTTACTTTACAGACCCAGTGTTGAGTTTATAGAGTTCATGCATTGCTGCCAAAGTCAGATTTAGCATGGCTAGAATGTAACCATGAACTCAATTGAACTTGCGTTAGCTGTGACTAAATTTCTGCTTGCTTATTTTCTTCAGTTCAGTCTGAGAATTATATGGTTGCTTCTGCACATTTTGACAACAATTATTGGAAGGTGAAGGTGTGTTCCTTTCTAACATTTTCAGTTCAAACTTTATTGAAGCAAATTGATCA